CTGTCTGTGGGCTCCTTGTCATGAACGAAAAGTAAAGTCCTGTTTTCAGCATTATTAGTAAGGGTGAGAATTATTTCAGCAGAAAACATTCCTGATAACATGTGGGAACAGCCAGATAAATTATAAATATTCATAAAGTAAAACTCCATAGTTTGCTTCGTACTTTCTAGAGATACATGTGTGCTATAAAAACACTAGAAAATAAAAACTGAAGAAAGAAATATGAGGACAAGATGAAGAAGGAAAGAGAGTATGCTTTTAAAGGGTCTAAGAGACTGGTAAAATTGTTTTCTCCAATAGGCACTGTTTCCCCTTTCTTTTTTCTGTACTCTACAGTAATTTTTCTACGCCTCAAGGTTAACACATGTGAACAACAGCATGACCAAATGTGGTTTAACCTCAATGGCTCATGGATATGGTTTGGCTCTGTGTCCCCACCCAAATCTCACCTTGAATTGTAATAATCCCCACATGTCATGGGAGGGACCCAATGGAAGGTAAATGAATCATAGGGGCAGATTTTTCCCATGCTTTTCTCATGATAGTGAAAAAGTCTCACAAAATCTGATGGTTGTATAAAGGGGAGTTGCCCTACACATGCCCTCTTGCTTGCTGCCATGTAAGGCGTGACTTTGCTCCTCATTCGCCTTCCACCATGATTGTCAGGCATCCCCAGCCATGTGGAACTGTGAGTCAATTAAACCTCCTTCCTTTATAAATTACCCAGTCTGGGCCGGGTGCGGTGGCTCAAGCCTGTAATCCCAGCACTTTGGGAGGCCGAGGCGGGTGGATCACGAGGTCAAGAGATTGAGACCATCCTGGTCAGCATGGTGAAACCCCGTTTCTACTAAAAATACAAAAGTTAGCTGGGCATGGTGGCGCGTGCCTGTAATCCCAGCTACTCGGGAGGCTGAGGCAGGAGAATCGCTTGAACACGGGAGGCGGAGGTTGCAGTGAGCTGAGATCACGCCATTGCACTCCAGCCTGGGTAACAAGAGCGAAACTCCGTCTCATAAATAAATAAATAAATAAATAACCCAGTCTGAGCTATGTCTTTATTAACAAACAACATGAGAACGGACTAGTACACTCATTTTAGCAATCCTGCCACGCAGAAGCTAATCCAACACAGAAATCAGCTGATTTTCATAATCAGTTTAGAGAAAATAACCTGTTTATTTTCCTACTCTCTCACTATATAAAAAAAAAAGTCTACTACTTCCTTCCCAATGGCTCTCCTTTTACTGCCTTAAAAAGCCAATGTCCAAGAGACAAGCTAATGACAAAATTCCAAATAGCTCTTATGAAGGAATTTCTTTCCGAAGTTCCTCTCAGAAACAGTATCCTCTCCTATTTAATTACAAAGAAAAGAACTGCAGAACTATTGTGAATCACTGCATATCATAAAAACGAGGTACCGGTACAGAAAACCTCAAAAAAATGCTTTAGCAATTATCAGCTAATATGCTAAATCTGACATTTTCTTTTAAATTACTTTAAAACTGTCAATTCAATTAACTATATGGATTTCAGTGATTTCATTTTAATATTGAATTTACTTATAAACACCCTAGTCTTCTATATATCTAAAGTGAAATATGAAACAAGTAGGCAAATAAACACAATTTAACCTAATATAGTTAGCCAAAGGACAACTACAAACTTACTCTGCTTCTGTAAGTCTTACTTCAACAATGAATACAGTGTTTTTGGCTATACAGGTCAAAGTCCTCATTTTACAGAGGAAACTGAAAAAGTAACATCAGTCTACCTCAATTCACAGATTTTTTACTGCAAGAAAACGAGAAGCTGATCTTAATGAATAAGAGTATTTTACTTATCTTAATGAGTAAGAGTCTTTAAGAAAAATCTGTTTCAGGAAATAAACTACCAATTCAATAATTTTCTATCATAAAAAAATCTGCAAGCAATCCATAACTTTTGTCACTAACCTGCAACTTTTCTTCATGGCTTCTTAGAAAAGAGGTCCTTTCATAGTAATGACCAAAAATAGCTCCATTTATGAAATTCCTAACATGGCTGCACTTAACCGAGTCTGAATAAGGAAAAACAAAGTTGCCACAGACATACTGTTCCTCCTGCCAGAACTTACCTTTCAAAGGCCTTTCACAGAAACTGAATCGGCAATAAAAAGTTGAAGGCAGTGCTAAATTTAAAGGCTCTTTATAGCAATAATATCTATACTTGTTGGAGGGACATATATCAGAAAAAAAAAGGGGGAGAGGTGAACAATTTCTCAGTCCATTTTTTTTTTTTTTGAGACAGAGTTTCCCTCTTCTTGCTCAGGCTGGAGTGCAATAGTGCAATCTCGGCTCACTGCAGCCTCCACCTCCTGGTTTCAAGCAATTCTCCTGCCTCAGCCTCCAGAGTAGCTGGTATTACAGGCATGTGACACCACGCCTGGCTAATTTTATATTTTTAGTGGAGACGAAGTTTCTCCATGTTGATCAGGCTCAGTTTAAATTTCACTGAAATTTTATAAAATCTGTCAAATACTAGCAAAGGTAGGAAAAAAAATCCCTCTAATACAATTATGATGTAGCTTTTGTATCACGTGATTTCATATACCTAAAGTTTGTAAAAGCATCTTTATGTTTTCTTCTCTCATAGATTTTCATCAATTGACCTGAGTTTCCAGCCACAGACCTTAGATTAGGGCACTACAGAAAGTAAAGCTTTGATTTATAGTGAGATGGTTCCACTCGTGATTATTATCCTGAAACCAATATGAGTATAAATCAGGTATCATCTGCATACACCGAGTTCAACTACCTCTACTTAGAAGTTAGGGACAACAATTTGGAAAGCAAATTTTTAAAATGAATATACAATACCCTCACTTTTTAACCTGCACCTAGTAATGACAGGAAGATTCCATTTAGAAATTTTACTTGCCGTAAGACATCATCTTAATTCTTATAATAGTAGCAACTAATACTTTTATAGTAGATGCACCAGGCACTGCTCTAAGTATTTTAAATAAAATCCTTTACTATAACCCAATGAGGCTAATACTATTATCACTCCCCATTTTACAGATGGGAAACTGAGGTACAGAGTTTAAATAACTTGCCTATAATCATATAGTAATAATCGGATGTAGAGGTGGGATTTGAACTCAGTATTCAAAGCCCATGCTAATGTCTCTATGAAAAAATTAAGTATTTATATGACAACGTTTCATGCTTTAACTCTGCCCATAAAAAGAGTTTAGGAAACAGAATGGCACATAGTAGACAACCAAATATTTGCTGAATGAAGATACTATTACTTTAAAATTTTTCACTATTATGTATATACATATAAACAAACATGTTTCCTCCCAAAATATCCAATTAACCTCATATAATTAGCCAAAGGCCAACTACAAACTTACTCTGCTTCTCTAAGATTTTTACTTCAAAAATGAATAGAGTACATTTGACTACGGTACACAGTTCAAAAATCCTCATTTTATAGAGGAAACTGAAATGGTAAAATCAATCTACCTAAATTCAGTTTTGTCAATCTGAGCACCTTAGTGCCCAGATTATTTTCCTTCGTGCCAAATACATATTAAGGTGTTTGTGAAGCACCTGCTAGATTTGTAACCACCTTTATTAAATGATGAAGCATTTCATACTTTTTTTTTTTTTGAGAAGGAGTTTCGCTCGTTACCCAGGCTGGAGTGCAATGGCGCTATCTCGGCTCACCGCAACCTCCGCCTCCTGGGCTCAGGCAATTCTCCTGCCTCAGCCTCCTGAGTAGCTGGGATTACAGGCACGCGCCACCACGCCCAGCTAGTTTTTTTGTATTTTTAGTAGAGACGGGGTTTCATCATGTTGACCAGGATGGTCTCGATCTCTCGACCTCGTGATCCACCCGCCTCGGCCTCCCAAAGTGCTGGGATTACAGGCTTGAGCCACCGCGCCCGGCCAGCATTTCATACTTTAAAGTACAAAAGTCTTCATAAAATTAAATGTTATAACAAGCATGAATTGTAAATAACCCAAGACATACATACTAAACACACACATGTATCACATAATGCCAGAGTTCACTATATTTTTATTCCTTCTAATTCAATAGAGACGATTCTCTCCTTATCTTGCCCCAGGGACATTTGGCAATGTCTGAAGAACATTTTTGGTTATCACAAGGGGTTCTTGGGAGTGTCACCCACAAATAAGAATTATCTGGCCCAAAATGTCAATCTGACATGTATCCAAGTCCCTAAGGCAAGGTTGATTATTCAATCTATAGGGCAAATTCTGACCTTTGAAGGAAAAAATTGAAACAATGTTAGAATAGAGACTACTAAAACATCATCAACAGTAACAGAAACCTATCTCCTATACCCACTCTTCATGATCCATTTGATTGAAGAGGTTAACCCTTTTACTTAACTGCTTCAGCAGATCTCTTCTTCAAGAAGTTTTATTTTGGAAACTAAGTATTCTCAACTTTTACAAATACTCCCAAATAAAAGAAAATGACAGGCATTCCTAAGTAATATAAAAAGTATTCACTGATCATATAAACTTCAAAGGCTGTTTATTATTCTCATTAATCTCCAAAAGGTTGAGGGCAAAAAGGCCCTTTTTTGAAAAAACGGCAAAATGATTCAAGTCAATTGTAAAATGCTAATGTTATGAAAAAAATCCTCAAAGAATCTGCTCCTATGTGTTCCTATTCAGAATATGCACCACCCCCGCCTCCCTTCCCATTTATCTACTCTAGTCTTCAAAGTCCAGCTCAAGGCCCACTTCAAATCCAGTCCACACCAACCTCACTCTTTTCTGACTCTTATACTCTAACATGGCAATGAAACTAAAAGCCTCTTAAGGAAAAGAAATGGGTTCATACTTAACTATTTCTGCATCTTCAGAATTAGATACAACCAACAAGGAACTGCTGTTTGGCTGCACCTAATATATAGCAGAAACATTTAACTCTCCCCATGGAAAGAAATGATTAAAAAATATAGCAAAACATCTTACCTCCTCTTCACTTTCTTTATCTTCATCATCTGAAGACTCTTCCTTGTTTTTCTTTTCATCTTCATCACTACTAGATTCATCTGACAGAATTTCAGGACATTTAGTTCGCTTAGCCTTCCTTGCCATTCCAGAACTGTTCCGTTCCTTTTTACTGCCTTTGCTAGAAGTTTTTTTAGATTTTGGCAATGGCTGCATAAAGAATGTATAAAGACAACATCAATGAGGTATAATATTTCAATCAATTCTATTTTTGATCACTTCTTGCTCCTCTCTCAAGAAATTTTATTTACAAACCCAGCAGCTTTACAGAGAATAAACCTTAACTGTGTCAGGTTAACCTAAAACTGTGTTACTAATACCATTTCATTTACGTTCTAAACACCTAGTAAGACTCTTCTTAACTGTTGAGAATTACGTATTCTAGCTTCTGACATGGGACTAGAAGCTCAAGGCACATTATGTTAAGCTCCAATGGCTGTAAATACTTTGTTACAACATTTCAAGTTAGGTTTGTAACTTATTTAATCCCTACAAGCATTAAAACTGTCACTGCCAGAGAAGCTCTTTGCTTTAGAAGGCCCAAGACTCCAATCAAAGGGGTGGGAAAAAAACCTTTATTTTTATTTTTTTATTTTTTGGAGACAGTCGTTTGTTGCCCAGTAGCTGGGATTACAAGTGTGTGCCACCACGCCCCGCTAATTTTTGGATTTTTAGTAGAGAAAGGATTTCACCATGTTGGCCAGGATGGTCTTAAACTTCTGACCTCAAGTGATCCACCCACTTTGGCTTCCCAAAGTGGTGGGATTATAGGTGTGAGCCACCACGCCTAGCCCATAAAAAATACAAAACTTTATTACCAATTATACATCCTGAATTTATGAATGAACTATACAGTTTATATTCATATTACTTCTGGCCTCTACTTTCAGTAATGTCAGGATCATATTCTCACTGATGCTTCTAAGTAAACAATAAATGATGGGTATATTAATTATGAAACTAAGAATAAATAAATGTTGCTATTATTCTGATAATCAAACTATGTATATTTAAAAGCAGAGATCACCCGAAGAAAATGAGTTGATTATATCAAACAAAAAATTTAATTTTTAAGTGTTTCTCAAGGAAGTTTTGCTAAATTCTAAAACTGAAAACCATAAAATCACCTAATATAAAGAATGTAAAAATACATATTACGGAATTAATATTTATTTCTAGGGTTGAGCATCTTTTCTATTATTTCTACCTTTGTTACTTTGTCTTCTGCAATAAGCAGAAACATTAAGGTAAAATTCTATAACATAACCTTAAAGTATCCAATTATGTAAATGTCTGTGATAACTTTAGGCAGTATTTTTCACGCAGAGAGTAGAACCACAGGTCCTTTACCTCCCATGAACCTCCAGTCTAGGGGTCACTGTCACCTACACAAAAATTAAGAAAAAGTGGCTGCTTTATGTAACATGGTGCTCTCGGGCTCACTGCAAACAAACCACAGGATAGCTTCCAGATTGCCCCAACAACCTATCCTTGCAAAGGCACACTAGGAAATAGCCAAACTAGGTCATTCCAAGAACTTGAAGTCAGTGGATCAAAGACATGTCTCAGAGAAGATTCTGTATAAAAAACTGTGAATGCATACACTTTTCCTTGCTATGTGAGATGCTACTATTACCAACTATTATCAGGACCTTAATCTACGTGGATATATTCTTTGACAGCACCGTTTGGACAAAAGGTAACTCTCTCTTTCCAAGCTCTTACTTGTTATATGAACTCCAGGTCTCAAATGTGTTAGAAAAACATAATATCCCTCAAAATCTCAGCTCAGAAACCAGATACAGGTAGCAAGGACGTAACCAGTATATCGAATTATTAGTATTAAGACTGAAACAGGTTCTGGATAAATCTATCGAGGAAAGTGAAAGGATGTTACTTTATTCAAGTAACCAATCAAAAAATACAATTCCCCAAAGTAAACGAGGAGTTTCAAAACCAAAATCCAAAATATACAAACGGTTTAGAGTTTTCCTATACTGACTCTAAAAATAGTTAAACCTGTTTATCAAAATCAGTGTCAATAGCACTATCTCTTTTTGGAAACAAAAACTGATTAATAAAGTACATTAGGAGGCTAGGAAAGCAATCAACGACTAATGTTGTGTTCATTTAACCACCAAAAAACTTACAGAAGAGAAAAAGGAAACTTCTGGTAGCATAGAAAACAGCTCTAGGCCAGACATCATGGCTCATGCCTACAATACCAACAACTTCGGAGGCCAAGGTAAGTGGATCACTTAAGCCCAGGAGTTTGTGACCATCCTGGACAACATAGTGAGATCCTGTCTCTAAGGATGGTCCCAGTTACTTGAGTGGCTGAGGTGAGAGGATCACTTCAACCAGAAGGTCAAGGTTGCATTGAGCCATGATCATACCACGACACTCTAAGAGAGGAAAACACCGTCCCCCCGCAAAAGAAAGAAAGAAAGAAAGAAAGAAAGAAAGAAAAAGAAAACAGCTTGAGCTTGATACCATCAAATTAAGGCGTAATCATCACAGGGTCACATATGAAAAACTGACAGAAGAGCTAGATTCTATATGACAAGAAAAAACAGATTCTCACAGTGTGGTTCAAGGACTTTGGGGTTTCCTGAGACCTTTTTAGCAGTCTGCGAGGTAGAAACTATTTTCATAATAACAGCAAAACTATTTCCTCTTTTCATTCCACTGACATTTGTACTAACTGTGCAAAAGCAAAGGGAGGTAAAGGTGGGTAAAACTGAGGGCACCTTAGCACTAATGAAGAAAGCAATATGTATTAATTATTGTATTCCTCACAACCACACACCAGCACAAACAACCACCAAAAAAAGGTAAATAGTTTCACTTAATAATGTCCTTGATAAAGCAATAAATATTGTGTTAACTCTAAGGTACATGTCTTTCTATTATCTGTGACAAAATAAAAGTTCAACACAAATATGGCTACAATTGAAGTTCAATGGTTTTCTCAAGGAAAAGCATTTGTGTAACTCAGTTGTGAGTTAAACACGCTCCAAGCTCCTTTTTCATAGACCACAGGCTGGAGTGCAGTGGCATGACCTCGGCTCACTGCAAACTCCACCTTCCAGAGAACACCACTTTTTAAAAGAACAGACTTAAGTGTTTGATGGCGATGATTTCAAAAATATTCAAGGTGAGCTTGTCACTTCAAGGAAAACTGACAGCATTTATCAACAATGATAAATTTTATGATTTTAAGTGGAAATTAGAATTCTGGAAAATGCATATCTACTACTGTGAACCTGACAGTTTCCCAAGGCCTAAGTATTTTGTCATGAGATGGCGTTCATATTAATGAACATGAATAACGACAGTGTTCAATAAAACACGTCAACATTTGGAAGATGTAGGTCAGGGATCCAATACTTAAAAATGGTAAACCCACGTTACAAAACCATGTGTATGTTGATAAAATACCCAAGTTTTGAGACCTACATTAAACATTGTAACTAACCTTTAGGAAACTACAAATTGTAGAGTTTTGGTTTTGTGTGGTATCAAAAGACAATATACACAATGATCTAAAAGGACTTTAAAATATTCCTTTTTTTCCAAATACATACCTATGTGAGGCTGGGTTTTCTTCACATACGTATTATTTTGAGACAGAATCTCGTTCTGTCACAATAGGATGGGGTGCAACGACATGAATATAGCTCACTGCAACACTGAACTCCTGAGTTCAGGCTTTCACCTCGGCCTCCCAAGTAGCTGGGACTACAGGAATGTGTCTCAGTGCCTGCTAATTTTTTCTTGAGAGTCTCACTCTGTCACCCAGGCTGGTCTCCAACTCCTGAGCTCAAGTGATCCCCCTGCCTCAGCCTCCCAAAGGGCTGGAATTACAAGCATAAGTTACTGCATCAGGCCCTTCATAAATCTTAAGCAAAGCAATACCTTGCAAAAGACTGGATGGGGCCAGGCACGGTGGCTCACGCCTATAATCCCAGCAATTTGGGAGGCTGAGGCAGGTGGATCACCTGAGTTCACTAGTTTGAGACCAGCCCGGCCAATATGGCAAAACCCATCTCTACTAAAAATACAAAAATTAGTCGGGTATGGTGGCACCCGACTATAATCCCAGCTACCAGGGTGGCTGAGGCAGGAGAATGACTTGAGCCTGGAAGACAGAGGTTGCAGTGAGCCCAGACTGTGCCACTGCACTCTAACCCTGGGCAACAGGGCGAGAATCCGTCTCAGGAAAAAAAAGACTGAATGTAAAAGCAAATGGTAATCATACTGTTTTGTCTTAAGCCAGACATTAAACAGATGTACGAAAACATAAAATAATGCCACTCTTTAATTATTCTAAAAAGTTATTTTTCATAGAAAATATTTTTAACATTTTAAAATAAAAATTTTCAGTTCTAAAGTCAAATATAGTGAAGATCAAAATAACTCATATTAAAAAAACCTCTTGGGGCTCTCATTATTTTTTTAAATGGGTAACAGTATCCCGAAACCAGCAAATTGAAAAATCACTGAGAAAAAGATAAATATAAAAATGTCCTCCATAACAACTTTGTAATTGCTTCTGAGGAAATAAGTGAACACCTTGCCACATTAAACCCTTAAAAATTATAGGTAGAGCTAAAGTTAGAAAATAAAAAGGTAGTATTTTATCCTTAAATAAGCCAATTTAAAACAAAAATCATCATACCCCTTGTGTTTGTAGCTGTATAACAAAAGCTAACAACTTAAATGTTCTTTATCTGTCCTTGTCCAGCTAATGGTAATAAGGACCAAGGGCCGTCCAGAACAAAGTCACAGAGTTAATTTCTAGTTTTGATTTTTAATGCCCTCTCCCATCTCCAGACAGCATTCCCCTGAACTCCTAGACCTGCCAAATCTCTTCATACTTCCTTTCCTGTCAAGATGGGGAAGAATATAAAAACATTTGCTAACAGAGCTAAAACTTACTGAAAATGCAAGGTCATGTAACACTTCAACAGACATTTTAAGTCATCTATGTCATTTGTTACTGTTAAATAATTAGGGCAAACCTACTAGGTTTTAGGAAGAGTAAGAAAACTATCAGGCCATTTTAATTCCCTGTCCAGCTCCTGGGCTCTGCTGCGGATTCTGGAAACCCAATCCAGGAAACTTGTAAGAGTTAGCTTTAAAATGTCACTTTTTAATAACTTATTCCAGGATCTAAGAAAACATTCAGTTCTAATATACTCCCTATTTTGTCTTTCTTCACTTGATTACAGGTTGCATCCCTTCTCTCCAGCCTTGCACCTCACCCTTGACCCAGCCTTTCTATTCTTTCGGTGTCTTCTAGATATCTAACCCTGACTACCTGTACATTCTGTCCCTTCTGATATTAATTCACTTTTCTAAACCTTATATCCCTTGTATCTGATTTGAAGCAACATATCCCTATGGCATCTATACTATTTCTATCATGAAATTACTGCCGATATGTCAACAGAAGGTATATTCTTTCGACGTAGACATTACTGAATACTGAGAGCACTGCTGCTATTAACCGATTTTTGTTTCACAGAAAAAAGGAGAGTCTATGAATAACTGATTTGTTATGAAAAGAGTAAAAATTGATCCTCACTTTGCCAGAAGGCTTTGGATGCATTAAGAAATTCAAGATCCTCTTCACTAGTTCACTATTTACACCTGATCTCTCCAAATCAAGAACCTCACAGATGCTCTTTAACATGGCATTTCTAAATCTGAAACAGAAAATGGAAGAAACCAAGGTATTAATATAGGAAAGCTTACGAATGTTCTCCACAATACAATAGCCAACCAAACTGGCTCAGTTACACACATTAAAAAAAGTGGCCAATGTTTCTCTGAATCTTGCTCTTAATAATCATGACTAGTATACAACTAAATATGATTAACAATTAAAAACACCATTTACCATTTAAGTTGTACATGCAGTATAGGAACAAACTAAGTAAATTAACTAGAAAATTAAGTAAAATGTTTTCAATACTACAAAATTCATGGCCTTGGTAATTCTTCTTCAATTAAGTATTACAATTTCCCCAACAGCATTGCTACTATGTTTCAATGCAAGAATAGGTAATTATCTTTATTATTTGAGATCTTAAGTACAAGACATTTAATAAACAAAAGCTTTAAGATTATATCATCTTGCCTGCATTATCATGAAGAACATTGTATCCATAAAATTGATTATCTTCAAAAAAGTTTAAATGGTTTAAGCCATTTAAACAGAGTGGCTGACAGGCGACAGGAATGGGAAAGATTACTACATTCTCTTTAGACCTTCTGAGTTTTGCACTCTAAATGATTAACCTGTGTGTATCGTTCTTTGAGGAAACAACAATTTATGTTTTCAGTAATTGGCTGGGAACAGTGGCTAACTCCTGTAATTCTAGCACTTTGGGAGGCTGAGGTGGGCGGCTGACCTGTGGTCAGTTGTTTGAGACCAGCCTGGCCAACATGGTGAAACCCATCTCTACTAGCTAAAAAAAAAAAAAAAATTAGCTGGGCGTGGTGGCGCATGTCTGTAATCCCAGCTACTCCAGAGACTGAGGCAGGAGAACTGCTTGAACCAGGCAGGCAGAGGTTGCAGTGAGGCAAGACTGCGTCACTGCACTCCAGCCTGGCCAACAGAGCGAGACTCTGTCTCCAAAAAAAAAAAAATTTTCAGTAATCTTTTGTCTTTTTCTAAGAGATGGGGTCTTGCTATGCTGCCGACAGGCACCATCCCACTACTGATGAGCATGAGGGTTTTGACCTATTTCCTTTCTGACCTGGGTTGCCTGCCTTGGCCTCCCAAAGTCCTGAGATTACAAGCAGGAGCCACCGCGCCTGGCCCAAAAGTGATCATTTTGTAAACGTTAAAAAATAAACTTAAGGCATATTGATTGAAATATAGTATTTATAAAAATAACTCACTTTTTCAACATTTCTTCCTTTTTTTTATACTGGACACTTCCTTTTTCAAATGGAAAGCCACTGAACTGACCCACATTCTTCTTTAATGAGGACACCTGAAAATGTTTCTTATTAATGCTATTTATTACTCAGTAATGTACACAAGAACAAATTCAAAGACAATTCAAAGCCAACATCTTTATTTTTGTATCTGTCTGTAAGTTACAATACTGGCTCAACAGTCAACCAATTCAATATTGGTTTAATATTCAACATTTCTTGTTCAAAACTGAAAAATATATTTCTTACTAACATATTTACATTATAAAAATCCTACAAACTTAAGTCTCTGAAAATAACAATCTGAACAAATTTTCATTGGGGAATTTAGGGGATGTGGAAAGCTACTACTTAAAAAGATATCCTTTTCATAAGTAATAAAGTTACTAGTAATATTTCTTCTTTTTCAAATCAAGAAGTAAAGGTCTTTATTCTTTAAAAGAAAAGTGAGTACCACAAAAAAGTTATTACCATTTACTAGTTATCGGACTTGTATAAATTAGATTGGTTTAAAGATTAAATGAGATTAATAGACGTGAAAATAAATTACATCATGTGTCAGACATTCTGTTCTACTTCAGACATTCTAACACCCAACTTTACTTTGCCCATGTACAACTTAAAGCAGAGTTTTCTCAATTACATAAAATATTAAGTTATATGGACAGTATAATAACAATCCTTTAGCAAAGAACTATCATGCAATTTACCAGGTATTTGCTCAAAATGAGATAGAGTTATACCAAATCACTTATTCTGAATGTCCAGAAAATACAAAAACATGAATTTCTTTTAATACATTTAAAGGTCACTAAAACAATCACAATTTGGATTTCATAATTTGAAACTTCAGTTTGGAATAAAAACTACTATAGGAACAAGAGCCCTAGAGCTGGGCACACTGGCTGATATCTATAATTCTAACACTTTGGGAGGCTGACGTGGGAGGACTGCTTGAGCTCAGGAGTTTGAGACCAGCCTGAACAACATGGCAAAATGCTACCTCTACAAAACATAAAAAAATTAGCCAGACATGGCGGCATGCACCTGTGGTCCCAGCTACTCAAGAGGCTTAAGTGGCAGGATCACTTGAGCCCAGGTGGTTGAGGCTGCAGAGAGCCATGTACTGCACACTGCACTCCTGCCTGGGTGACAAAGCGAGACCCTGTTTGAAAAAAAACAAAAACAAAAAAGACAAGAGTCCTGGATATTATAATCCCAGTTGCTAATACCTAGCAATGCATCCTGTGATAAATCACATATTAAGTATATGTCTCAGTCTGCTCAGTCATGAAGTATGAAAACTGAATTAGTGGACCACTAACATTTACAGAAATTATGATTCCATTGTGAAGTAATATAAAAGTAGGTTAAAAATGTAAAAAGGTCTTACAGTGCCCGGCCTGTTGTAAAGCAGTTTGTGTAGATTTCTAAGTTCATCAGTTTTCTTCTTACTTAGAAAAAAATGTATCCTCTCAATTTCACAAAGTTTCTGCCCCTTTCCTAGAAAAAAAAATCATAATTAAATACCCATTGCTTATTAATACATTTACAAATTTACTAAGAATTATTTTTACAGCATAATTTACATGTAACTCTGCTCTAACAGAGCAAATTAAATAAATTATAAAACACTACCTTGCTGATACTGAGCACTACTAACCATCATTTTCACAAATTTAGGCACTTTCACCATAAAATGAAAGGAACCTAGAATATACTTACCTTGTGCAATTGTAAATGGCTCTCTTTGTAAGGAAGAGACTTGCATTGTCAACCTCTCCACTTTTTTCTTTTCCCTCTTGCCTTCAACGATGAGACTCTTTTCTGGAAATTAATTTAGTATTTCTTAATTAACGAAAAGCTTAAAGATTATGCCAATTTTATTAGATAAGCATGTACAACAAAGTCCCCAAAACCTAATACTTCATTCCTCTTCTGAGCAGGGTTTTGGGAATCAAATGACAGAAAAGATCAAAACACCTGGTAAGTTAATACAGCACCACGAAAATTTTTTTAGAGTAACATTTTACTTACCTGGCAAACTCACAGGGACTCATTATATTAAAAAAAAAAAATTAGAAAGCAAATGAATTTTTATCCAACTAAAATTATCACAATTACAGTCCATTCACTTCAGTGGTGAAAAAATCTAGCTCTGTTTAATCTTTGGATATAATTCTATTTAATAATTGTGATTCAAAGTTTGCTATACTTCAGAAATAATCCAGTTTAGACCGGCAGATTAAGAACTTCAAAAGATACACAGAGAACAATAATAATTTAGTAAACTGACAAAAGAGACACAAATAAAGACCTCCAGGCACAACAGCCTGAAGTATAAGACAAAACTCTCCAAGTTTACATTTAACACAATCAACTAGGAGAGCACTACTTTGTAGTTTATGAATAATGTTCATAATGATGGCCATAAATTACTTTGAAAAAAGTTAAACTGCTTAGTCCAAAAAACAAGACAAAACAAAATAAAAACACTACGGCTGGGTGTGGTGGCTCACGCCAATAATGCTAATACTTTGGGAAGCCAAGGCAGGAGGATCGCTTGAGCCCAGGAGTTTGAGACCAGTCTAGGCTGAACATATTGAGACCCTAGCTCCATTAAAAAAAAAAATCTAGAAAACAAAATGCAAATTTCAAAATTCAAAACATTAAGTTCCATTTATCTAAAATAAAAACATTTTTGGAATCAAATAAAGTTAGATAAAAGAATATTATATATTGTTGGAGGTTCTGCCATTTATTCAAATGAATGCCTTGGTTGTACAAAGCTGCACTCAGCACTAAGAGGGCATAAATGGATGATTAAAACTGCACATCTTTTGAAAGAGATGCTACTAAAGAAATGAGACATAAACATATGCCAATGTAAAAGATAACAAAACATCTTAAGAAAGATATAATACAAATAAATTGCTGTGCACTGAGGAGAAATTATTTTGGGACTAGGGAAAACGGAACAAAGCATTTGTGCTGGCCTTTAAAGCGCTTAGATTTAGTAATACAAGGATTTGCACAGAAAGAGTATGTCAGGACAGAGCTATCAACAGGTATATTCCGGCCCTGTTGCACAGAATGAAGAGCAAACACACTCAAACAACCCCTACTATCACTCAACTTCATCAACCTAGTGATTTAAACCATTTGCTTGCCTCTAATTACCAAACACAAGCTAATGACTTCGCAGTCAATCTCCAAGCCACAACTTTCTTCTGAGATTCATATTAACTAATATTGTCTCTCAATATCTGTCAGGGATTGGTTCCAGGACTACCCTCAGATGCCAAAATCCATGGATGCTCAAGTCCCTATTTTGAAAAAATGGTGTAGTAATTACATATAACCTATGAACATCCACCCATATACTTTAAATCATCTCTAGATTACCCATGACTAATACAACTTAACTAGATAGCTGTCATACCGTATTTTTCAGGGAATAATAAGAAAAAAATCTGTTCATGTTCAGTATAGATGCAATCATCCATTTTTACCAATCTGTGGTTTGAATCCACAGATAAGGAACCCACAAATATGGAGGGGCAACAGTATCACCTGGCAGCTTCAATTCATGTCCTATAGGTATTTAAACTCAAAACATCGAAAAGAAAAATCATAATCATCTCCAAACTTGCTCACTTCATCAATTTTTTTCAGAAAACATTAATACCATCCACCCACCTGCCAAAGACAAAAACCTAAAAGAGTCATCTTTTACTAGTCATTTCCCTCACTTATCTTTTCCACAACCATTGCCAGTTTTGGCTAATCTGGCCCCTTCTTCAGGACAGACTTCAGAGGATGCATGAGAAAGCCTGGGTGCCTGGGCAGAAGCCTGCTGCAGGGGTGGAGCTCTCACAGAAAATTGCTACCTGGGGCCAGGAGTGGTGGCTCATTCCTGTAATGCCGGCACTTTGGGAGGCAGAGGCAGGCAGGACACTTGAGCTAAGGAGTTTGAGACCAGCCTGGGCAACACAGTAAAACCCTGCCTCTATAAAAAATACAAAGTACATGGGCATGGTGGGATGGTGTGCCTGTGGTCCCTGCTACTGGGGAGGCAGAGTCCAGTGAGCTGAGATCGTGCCAATGCACTCCAGCAGGGTGACAGAGGGAGACGCTGGGGAGAGGAGGGGAGGCGGGAAGGGGAGATAGAAGAAAATAAAAGAAAACTTATACTAGAGCAGTGTGGAAGGAAATGGGAAGGTGAACCCCCTAGAATCACTACCAAGGTTCCACTGGCTAGTGGAGCTGTGGGAAGGGGGCTGCCACCCTCCAAACTCCAGAATGGTAGAGCCACAGCCAGCTTGCAACTTGAGCTGCCCAAGGCCTTGGGACCCCTTACCCCTTGAACCAGCGTGGCCTGGATGCCATACATGGGAGTATACGGAGATAATTTTGGAGCTTTAAGATTTAAAGACTGCCCTGCTAGGATTCAGACTTGTGTGGGGCCTACTGGGCCTTTCTTTTGGCCTTTCTCCCTTTTGGAATGGGAATTTTATCCAACACCTGTACCACCATTGTATTTTGGGAATAAATAACTTATTTTTGATCTCACAGGCTCACGAGTGGAAGAAACTCATCTTCAGATGAAACTGTGGACTTCAGACTTGGGATTTTTGAGTTAATGCTGAAACAAGGCAAGACTTTGGGGGACTACTGTGAAGGTGCGAATGAATTTTGAAATGTGAGAAAGACATGAGATTTGGGGAAACAGGGATGGAATGATATGGTTTGGATGTTCGCCCCCTCCAAACCTCATGTTGAAAAGTGATTGGCAACCTTGGAGGTGAGGCCTGGTAAGGTAATGAAATCAGGGGGGCAGATCCCTCATGTATGACTTAGCATGGTAACCCTTGGTGATAAGTGAGTTTTCTCAAGTGTTTGTTTCAAAGAGCTTGGCACCTCTCCCTACCACTTGCTCCCACTCCCAAATGGGATGCCAGCTCCCCCCTGTCTTCTGCCATGATTGGAAGTTTCCTGAGGCCTTCATCAGAATCTGGTGCCCTACTTCTTTGTACTGTCTGCAGAATCACGAACCAATTAAACCTCTTCTCTTTATAAATTACCCAGCCTCAGGTATTTTACAGCAACACCCAATTTAAAAAAAAAAAAAAAAAAAAAAAGCCTAATACAGCAAGTTTTCACCTTCTGGCTTCCATCATGCCTCAATACTTAAACATTCTGGATTAAGTAGAATAAAAATTTTCACAATTCTACTTGTCCCACAACACCTCAAAATAGTAAAAAGGACAATAAATCAGAGCTATAATAAAACTGTCAGGAACAAACTTTTTACAAAATCATGTTTTAAAAAATTATCTAGAACAAAACATAGGATACTTGGTCATGTGGATGTTTCATGCCCCTAATCCCAACCCTTCGAGGGTCAAAGCAGGCAGATCCCCTGAGGTCAGGAGTTTGAGACCAGCCTGACCAACACGGAGAAACCCCATTTCTACTAAAAATACAAAATTAGCCCAGTGTGGTTGCGCAGGCCTGTAATCCCAGCTACTCGGGAGGCTGAGGGAGGAGAATCGCTTGAACCTGGGAGGCGGAGTGAACTGAGATCACGCCATTGCACTGCAGCCTAAACAAGAGCAAAACTCCGTCTCAAAACAAAACAAACAAAATACAACTCAAAAAAACAAAACAAAACAAAAAAATGGGATTCTTTTAACCACCACTTGTCCCTCAAGAATTATTGCGTTGGTCATTTACAGTATATTTACATGACTTCTCTAATTTTTTCCTGACATGAAGAAAATTCACCATTTCTTTGGTATCTCAACCTTGCCCCCACAAAAAGATTAAAATACAAACAAAAAATTGGAGAAAAAGGGCAGAGACTCTGGCTAGTACGGAGATAGTGCAACCAATTTTGTTGCTGTATTAAAAACAATTTTTAAATAACATACTATTAAGCAATAATTTACATAAAAGCTGATTTACATAAAAAAGTCATGCTTGACTTAAAAAGTCCTTCTTAGGGCACATACACTTTAAACAAACAAAAGGCACACCTTGTAATCGTAACCCAGATTGTGACCACAGGCTGGTTGAGGCTTAAAAAAAATCTGGGTTTGGGAAGAGAGCTTCAAATCTCTTCCCAAGTGTGGCTGACTTGCAGCGATATAAGAAATAAACCCAGACTGGGCAAATATCAAAGAATGCTAAAAGGTGCCACTTTGATTCTTAAGTGGCTGGAAACATGTCAACTGGCGGGTACACCTGAAATAGACACTGCTGCATCCTGGATAAACTGACACAGCTCACTCCTCAATGCCCTCAGGTTTCTGTTTCACCCCTCTAATCAAATCAGGGTTCATACCGCCCTCCCTTAAAGCAGGCTCAGTTCCGAAACCGAGACATTTAACTTTCAGAGTTCACTTTTCTCATTTTTAACTACTTTCTCAAGTAGCAACAGCTTTCACCGCTGTTTGCCAAGAGGAGACACTTTTTGGCAGATGCAAAAATATTTCCAAGTATTCAAATACTTCCAGGTCTAGCCTACGTGACCTCAGTCTTAACGGGCTGCACTAAGACCTTACAATAACATCGAAAGGCAACACATGTGTAATGAAACGGACAAAATTAGAACAACCACTTAGCAACTTCAAAGGTGCACACACGGAGTTAAAAAAAATCAAATTCAAGACCTACAAACTTCCTGTCAAATGATGAAAAGTTAACGAGCATTTAGAGGTGGCATAAGTCAGCGGCACTCCAATACATCACTACCGCTCTAACAAATAGTTTCAAACCGGAATACACAAAGTTAATTCTATGCAATCGCTCAACACAAAAGCAGATAAACTGTGCATGCATTCTCGCTGAAAAAAATCACTCCGACTTTATGCCTCTAAACACCAAAAGAGCAAGAAAACTGTCTCCTGGGGTGGGGGGGGGGGACTTCGGTCTGAAAAATCCATCATTTGGGATGCAACTCCCCCCACCTTTTTCCTCCTCCTCCTCCTCCTCCTCGTCGTCGTCCTCGTCCTCTTCCTCCTCGCTCTCCTCTCTGGGACCGGGCATTTCGGGTTCCTTCTCGGACGCGGGCTCGGCGGGGGTTCCCTCTCCGTCCGCAGGGGCCGAGGCAGACATGCTGTGAACCTGCGGGCGGGGAGAAAGCCGGACGTCTCGGTCCCCCTGCTCCCGCGGGCAGGACCCTGCGGCCACCTTGAAGGATGAAACCCTTCCCGCGGGACACCTGCCCTGAAAGTTGCCTCTTCCCGTAGCCGGGACTGCTGCGCTCGGTCCCCAGGGGCCGCTTCCCTCCCGCTCCGCCCGCCGCCGTCCAGGCACTCCCGAGGCGGGAAAAAGCGTCCGCGGCCCTTGCGGGCGCGCGCCCGCTCGGCCCTGCGCCGTCCCCGGCCCGGCCCGAGCTGCCGGCCCTCCGCGTCCCCTCCCCCGCCCCAGGCCGCCGTCCAAATGGCTGCGTCCCTCCCCCGTCGGCCGCGGCGGGGGCGACCGGGCCTCCTGCGTCCCGACGCAGCCCTCACCGCGGGTTCCGGCCGCCGCGGGTCTGGCGTGCGAGGGCACGAGGAGGTTCTAAAAGGCGGCGGCGGCCGACGCCGAGGAGAGGGCGCGCGGTCCGCTGTCTGGCGTGACGCTCACGCCGCGCGCTCGGCTTCCTAGAATCAACAAGATTTTCAAAATGGCGGTTCGGGAAGGAGAGCGGGAATGCGGCGACCAATCAGGGCCGCGAGCTGGGAGTTGGCGGGCGCGGGGCGGGGGAGGCGGGGCGGCCGGGCGCCTCCGCGGGAAGCCCGGGCGGGCGGGGCGGGACTGCGAGGGGTCTCCTCGGCGGCGGCGGGAAGGATGCGCGCTCTGGGCTCTCCCCGGCTGCGCCCGGTGTTCGGTCGGCGCTCGGGCCCTGAGGTGCGAGCGGGCTGTGTCCTGGGTGGCGGGCGGGAGCGGGAGGCGAGGCGGCCTGGCCGCGCGGAACGGAAGGACGCTAGGGGGCCTGCGTGTTTATTGTCTCCACCGTCGCTTCCCGGAAAGGATGATGAGTAGTCCCGGGCCGGGGAGGGGCGCGGCGGGGAAGAAGTTTAGAGATCCCCGAAGTCGCTGTCGACGGTGTTTCTCGGAGGGGAATGACTCAGTCGTCGGTCTCATCAGTGCCCCCGAAATCATGCTGGGTGGTCCACAACTCCCCAACCTGCTGTATTTCTGAGGACCCCGTTGCTTTTAAGGTGCATTGCAAGGAAAAAGACCCTGCGTACCTACCACGTTAAAGGTTCACATAGCCAGCCACGTAGATTGACGCCCGTGACTATAGGTGGAAAGGCTCCCTCCCACCCGATTCCTTCCCCTCTCCGCGCTCACGCACACTACTCTGTTTTAGAATAGAGGGAATACGTTATTTTCCCAGGTCCGCACCCTTCTCCCAGAGTTCTAGGCCCTCTCTGCAGGTGCTTTTTACATTCAACACTGCAAACACTCAAAGCAGTGTCTTCCCCCTCGATGCTGCCTTCTTTTGTATGTGATTTCCTTTATTTTCTCCCAACTCTTCAACCACCAGCTCACCCAATGGATCCTTGTACTCGGTGGACTTCGTGGAAATACAGTCAGTGAAATCTGCTTGGATTCTGGATTGCAGGACAAAAATTTAACACTTTCTTTGAGTCTTCTCTTCTCCTTTTGTGCCCCTTCCAAAACGTACGCCAGTGGTGTCATTCCTACTCTTGTATACCATTTTCCACCCTATTGATTCCACTCGCATCCTATCCGAAGCTGTCTCTCCTTGTTGCCTCACGCGTAGTTGAAGGATCAGAAGTTTGTGTTTCAGCCCTATTTGTGTTACAGCTCTTTCAGTCCTGCCATTTGGCAGGTCTTCAGTTCCTGTCCTGTGTCCAGGAAGAATGAGGCACCCAAACAACTGTAGGGTGAGCAAGGTGGACAAGAACTTCACTGAGTGACGGAATAGCTCTCAGGAGACCTGAAGTGCGTTGCTCCTTTCTGTAGGACGGTTGTCCCGACGACTGTATTGCCCTCAGTAGAGAGGAGACCCATAATGAGCAGCTCTTTCTGCAGGCAGGTTGTCCTGACAAGTTGAGAAGACCAAAGTGGGTAGCTTCTTCCTATAGCTGGTAGTCCTGACCTCTGGGCTGACTCTGGGGTTTTTATGAGCTCAGAAGGGAGAAAGTGTGTGCTGATTGGTCCATTGGTGGGCCCAGAAAAAGCACGGTAAGTTCTCACTCTGCCCAGAATTGGCCACTGGTACCTGGTTTGAAGGTGGGCAGACACCAAACCCCTTTCTGCCCAGGAACTGGTCTGCCTCCCACCATCAACATGTCATCTATGGCACTCAGGCAGTTTGTGCCAAGGGGATGCCTGCAGGTGCACACAGAGCCACCGTCAGAACCTTCTTGCACTTGTTCGTGCCCAAAGTCCAGAGGGGGTGGATGCTGCAGGGGGAGAGTGTGTCAGTACTGCCCTGAATGCGTACACACCCAGCCGAGTTGCAACAGCGCCCATGCTCAGTCACAACTTTGCCTTGGGGCAGGTCCTGGGAGTGATTAGAGGATAGAGGCCTGTAAGCAGGCACTTTCTTTTTTTTTTTTAAATTGAGGACAGGACCTCACTGTCACTCAGGCTGGAGTGCAGTGGCGTGATCTTGGCTCACTGTAACCTCAGGAGCAGGCACTTTCAAGCCTGCAGGGGCAGAGGCTTCTTGGGCTCCCAAGAGCACAGGGATGCCTGGGCCCAGAGCAGTTGCTGGATGGCTGCTGCTTGCCAGCTCGGTAGGGGGCGGGGCTCTTGCGTGTTCCCAGCCCCTGCTGGCTCTGAGGAGTGTGCAGCTCTGGCTGTGCCTTCCATGCTGCAGCTGGCATCCCCTCAGTGGCTGCTCCAGACAGGCTGCCACTGTCATCAAGACAATGAGTAAGTGAATATAAATCCTACAACAATTAATGATAACAGTAAAACAAGTTAAAGAAGACAGGAAGTACCAGTAGGGTGGATGGGATTTTGTTTTATATATTTAACAATTAAGCAACATCTTATTAATAAGACATTTGAAAAGATGCTAAGAAAATGAGAACTCTGAAGACCGCTTAGCTTATTCCAAAGAATTCTCTAAAGTTTTGGATGTGGGCAAGAGAGTCAGCTATAAGTCAATGATGACCTCGGGGTTTTTGGTTCAACAACTGTAGCAACAGAGTAACCATTGTTTGAGATAAGAAAGACTTCAGGGGTGGGGGTGGGCAGGATGGTTTTGGAGGGGAAAGTGCAGGAGGTGGGAATGAGTTGTTTTGTTTTAGACATGTTAGTTCTGATAATTCAAAATGGAGATTCAGGAGTGCAGTTGGATTTGAGAGTCTGGCCTTCAACAGAAGAAACTCAAGCTCGAGATATAAGTGTAGCAGTTGTCAACATGTAGTTGATATCTACAACCCTGAAACTGAATGAAATCACTAACAGTGAACATAGGTAGGGACGGGGAGGTGTTCAACATGGCACGTTGCAGCTCTCCAGTGTTTACAGTTTCAGGAATGAGAGGGGAATCCCACAAGGAGAAGAGAAGGAGCAACTGTAGCCAGTGAAGTGGGAAGATAATTACATGAAAATTGTGTCCCAGAAGCCAAGTGACAAAGGAGTGTTTTTGGAGAGAGTGATCCACTGAGTCAGATGCTGATAAAAGTTCAGGTAAGATGAGAACTGATAATTGACCATTGTGTATACCAGTGTTGTGTTATCAATGACACGGACTATTCTGTGGGGTGGTGATTCTAAAGGTGCCAGGAGTGGGGATACAGAGAGACAGGTAGGCAAGGAATGGATTCAGGCACTCTTCCCAGGAATTTTGCTGTAGAGAACAAAGAAGGAGCATAGTTCAAAGGATGTTTGGTTTTGAGGGGAGATGTATGTTTGTATGATGATAGGAATGAATCAGTGCAGAGAGGAACGTTGATGATAGAAGAGAAGGAAGAGACAGTAGCTGAAGCCCATCTGTAGTAGGTAGGTTACGTTGGGTCCTTTGTAAGCAGATAATGAGAGTGAAAGGGGAACCAGCAAAGGAGGAGAGAAGGAGCAACTGTAGCCAGTGAAATGGGAAGAGAATTACATGAAAATTGTATAAAAACGGTGCTAAAACAATTTGGGACACCAGATATTTATTAGGGGTGAAGATCTGTGAAGGGAAGTGAGAAGAAGCAAGATTGGGTGGAGGAAAAGGTCAAACTCCAAAGGTGGCTTGACAGAGCTTCAGGCAGCTGCTAGGAGAGCTCTGGAGTGAGTGCTGCTTCTCAAGGTATCCTGAGTGGCTGAGCTTTTATATCCCCATACTGTTCAGTCACCTCGTGCAGGCAGCCCCAGCACGGGTGTGGACCTCCACTGAAGTGATTCCACAGCTTTGGCAGATCCTGAAGAAGCTGGACAGGTGGAGGCTGCCTGCTGACTCTGGGCTCTGCAGCTGGGCAGCAGATCCTTCCTTGAAGAGGCATCTGGGGGACACATCTCCATGTCTGCCACAGGAGATGAGAGGACACGGGATCTAGTGCACAAGTAGAAGAGTTGTCCTTAAAAAGGACAACAGAAAGCTGCTCCATTGTAACAGGAGGAAAGATGAGGATGTGAGTACCCATGTGGGTCAGGGATTGGCAGATGTAGGTGGGATTTTTGAAGTTTTTATTCCTTGAAGTTTCTCAGTAAAATCCTAGAGCAACATTATTGACAGTGAGTGAGTATGAGAGAGAATGTTCAAGGTTTTTGGACAGAGGAACTGTGAAGTGATCATGTAGGAGAATGGGCGATAGATGGATTAGGGAATGTAGGAGGCTTGCCACGTAGCTGCAAGGACTCACTGGGATTAGTGGCTACAAAGTGAGAGTGAGATCCGTCAGCATTATTGTGTTTCTCCAGCCATATTCGGCTACCTGAGAGTAGATGTGAAGATGGCAATGACAACATCCAAAACATGCATTTAACCAGGTTGGGATTTTGCCAGGCAAGTTGGAAGAAAGAAGGAGAGAAGGGTGAGTGAGATGAGGATCCGCACAGGACAAGGAAAATAGTGATGGACTGAGCTGAGTAAGGAGGAAAGTAAAGACATGAGAAGGGCGAGGCTTAGTGAGAAGGGTAGAGGACCAGTCAGTAATAACCTTATTTCTGTTTATTGCTTTTATCACTACCAGAAAATTTTGTTTATTTATTGTCTGTCTTTCCCATATAAGTGTAAACTCCCTGAGGCTGCCGGGACTTTGTCTTGTTCCTCACTATATTCTCAGCACCCAAAGCAGTGCCTAACACATAGTCATTAAGTATTTTGCTGAACGGCTGGGTGCGGTGGCTGACGCCTGTAATCCCAGCACTTTGGGAGGCCGAGGCGGGTGGATCATGAGGTCAAGAGATCGAGACCATCCTGGTCAACATGGTGAAACCCCAACTCTACTAAAAATACAAAAAAATTAGCTGGGCATGATGGCATGTGCCTGTAATCCCAGCTACTCAGGAGGCTGAGGCAGGAGAATTGCCTGAATCCAGGAGGCAGAGGTTGCGGTGAGCCCAGATCACGCCATTGCACTCCAGCCTGGGTAACAAGAGCGAAACTCTGTCTCAAAAAAAAAAAAAAAAAAAGCATTTTGCTGAATGAATGAATTCAAGCCAAAATAAACCTTTTTTATGAACATCCAGCATATTTTTTGATTAATGTGATGAGAAAGTATATTAGGATAAAACAGGCTATTTCAATGG